TGTATATAAGAGGCAGTCCAGCAACAGTCAGGAGAGAGTCCAGCTCAGAGTTAGTAATTGTAAAAGACCTAGCTTCAGAGGACCAAGAAGATTAAAGAAGTTTTCAGTTCTTACTGTCTGGCAATTTGATTAAGTGTCAGTTCGTGACATATTTGGTGGCAGCGGTTAAGGAGTCAATTTGTCGAAAGTATTCCCAAGAAGAATTCACGAGTAGACAAGACCCACAGCGACAATGACAGAAGAAATATCAAAAACCAGATCAGGTAAAGAATTTAAAGGAGACAATGGTCAAGAAGATCTAGAAGAATTTTATCCTAAAGGAAAAGATGAAGACGATTCAGATGAATTACAAAAACCAAGGTCTGACGAGTCTCAAACAACCGATATTATAAAGCTCATGCAGTTTATGGTACTACAAGAACAGAAACGAGAACAGGAAAGAAGGGAAGAAAAAGAAAGACGAGAACAGGAGAGAAGGGAAGAAAAAGAAAGATATGAACAGGAAAGAAGGGAAGAAAAAGAAAGATACGAACAAGAGAAGAGAAGATACGAACAGGAGAAACGGGAAGAAAGAGAAAGGTATGAAAGGGACAGAAGGCTAGAGATGGAAAGGCAAGAAAGACTGGAGAAAGAACGGGAAAGAGAACGACAAGAAATGAAGAAACAGTTAGACCAAGTGCAGCGACAAAGGAAAGAGGAATTACACCAACTTGAGAGTATGATGAAGCTAAGAGAAGTAAATATGACGAAGTTAAACCCAACAGATGACATTGAAAACTATCTCACAACGTTTGAGCGAACAGCCAAAACGTTTGATTGGCCAAAGGAGAAATGGGTGGTGAAGTTGGTACCCTACCTAACCGGTAAAGCCCAAGCTGCTTATGCTGCCATGTCAATCACCGAGAGTAATGATTACGACAAAGTTAAAGAAGCCATATTGAAGCGATATGACATAACAGAGGAGACGTACAGGCAAAGATTCAGGTCAACAAAGAAATTTAGAGATGAAAGCTATAAAGAAATGTATGTACGACTGAAAGACTTGTTCAGAAAATGGACCAAACCAGATGGGAAGACAGTAGATGAGATTACAGAGACCGTGATCATGGAACAACTGGTAGACACAATGCCCCCAGGAGTACAGATATGGGTACGAGAACACCGTCCAAGCACAGGAGTAGCTGCAGCAGAGTTGGCGGACGACTACTTTGATGCACGTAAAGGGATTCAAAACGAACCACCGAAAAGACCACATACAACCCAAGAAAGGTTACCGACAAGTCCTAAGGACAACGAGAAAGAAGGGACACCGGCTAATCTAGCTGAGAAGGTTAACAGTCCACAACCCTGGAGAAGTAATGACAAACCCAAAATAAGATGCAGAAATTGCAACAAAGAGGGTCATATAGAGAAATTTTGTCGCAAGAGGACAAGTTATCTCTCCAGACGAAGCAATAAATGCCCATATACAGATTTTGTTATACCTGGACGAATCGACGGACAAAACGTTGAGATGGTTCTTGATTCAGGGTGTGACATGACACTAGTTCACTGGGACCTGGTTGACCCAAAGAAGATAAATCATCAAGAGCGGACACACATCAGATGCATTCATGACCACCATTCGGATTACCCCACGGCTAATGTGTTAATAGAGATCAATGGCGAGCCATCTGAAGTAGTGGTAGGAGTCAGCAAGGATCTGCCGAGACATGCTTTGCTGGGTAAAGACTTCCCACAGTTCTACGACCTCCTAAGCAAAGTACGACCAGAGGTAGAAGATGGCCTAGTAGTAACGAGAGCACAAGCAAGGCGTGACAAGAGACAAAGGGAGGAAGAAACAAAAGAAGAGAAGAGATGRAAAGTACAACCGAGAAATTTAGACYACATCGTACTGCCTGACATTTCCAAAGAATTCGGTCAAATGGACATAGGAAGTTTCATGGATGGACCAAACAAAGTAAAGACGAAGAAATCAAGAAATCAGAAAAGACAGCAGAGAAAACAATACTCACAAATGAAAACTGAGTCATTGGATAAGTCGGAGTCACCTGATGTGGATCCTAAAACCATTAAAGACCTACAAATGGCAGATTCCACTTTGAATAGCCTGCGAATACAAGCAGCCAAACAGAGCAAGGACGACGAGATACAGATTATATACAAAGAAGGCATCATGTATAGACYAGTGTCAAGTAAAGAACTCCCAGAGCCAATAGAGCAGTTAATTCTTCCAAGACAGTGTCGGCAAAACGTGTTAAAAATTGCACATGACATACCATTGGCTGGACATATGGGCATAAAGAAGACTCTGGCGCGAATAAGACAACGATTTTTCTGGCCAAACATGACAAAAGATGTAAAAACCTATTGCAAGAGCTGTGAAGCGTGTCAGAAAACATCCAAGCATGGAACAAAGTTCAGAGCACCAATGCAGTCAATGCCAGTGATAGACGAGCCATTCACCAGGATCGCTATGGATATAGTTGGCCCATTGGACCGAAGCAAAGCTGGAAACAAGTACATTTTAGTAATCTGTGACTACGCCACTAGATATCCGGAAGCGATACCACTAAGAAGTATAGAAGCAAAGAAGATTGCAGATGAGCTTATTAAGCTWTTCTCTAAAGTTGGCATACCACAAGAAATACTAACTGACCAAGGTTCTAACTTTACATCCAAGCTGTTGAAAGAAATTTACAGGCTACTTCAAATCAAAGGTATAACAACAGCCCCATATCACCCTCAGACAGACGGTATGGTGGAACGACTAAATGGGACCCTTAAAGCTATGATAAGGAAGTTTGTAGCCAGTGAKCCACTAAATTGGGACCAGCTGATACCGTATCTGCTATTCGCATACCGAGAAGTTCCACAAGAATCGACTGGATTTTCCCCATTCGAGCTACTTTATGGAAGAAAAGTTAGAGGACCCTTAGATGTTATGAAAGAGACATGGACAGGAACAGTGTCTGGACCTAAAAGTGTTGTAACTCATATTGTTACCATGAGAGAAAGATTATCATCTATGACAGATCTAATGAGAGAAAACATGAAAGAAGCGCAGCAGCGACAAAAGAAATGGTATGACACAAAGTCCAGAGTTAGAGAGTTCACCCCTGGCCAAGAAGTGCTACTATTGTTACCAAGTAGTTCTAATGCTCTCCAGGCCAAGTGGCAAGGTCCATTTAAGGTAGTGAGAAGGGTGGGACCA